GAATATTATCACTGTGATGGTTGCTCACAACAATGTAAAAGAGAATACATGGTTTTTTAGCATTAAATATTTGAAATATGTAATTAAATAGTCGTTTTCATTGAATAAATTGGTTGTGTATTTGGACATGTTAAGTATGAAATATAGTGATACCGATATTTATCTCTCTCACTGACTCAGAAGTACCGAGAATCATACTGTATTATAGAGAAGTATTAAAAAAACACACGGAGTAAAATATCTGTGTTTTGAAGTATTATTTTAAAAGAGTAAAAAACACAACCATGAAAAAAAAGTTAATAACGTTTTCACGAAACATAAAATGCGTTTAGATGAAATTGTGGTTCGCTGAAGATTCGGGTCCCAGTTACCATGCAAAAATTTTATAAAGGTGACTGTGTTATACCCACATGTAACTTGACACTGTATTGTCAAATTATTTGGAGAGAACACCCAGAGACCAGATAGGGTGTCGTGTTTTATTACTGAAGTCCAATTATAATGGTAAATGGGTCCACATTTGGCCTTAAATACAGTTTGGACCCTGTTAACACTTGCCATCGACTGTTCTTGTACATCTGGTGGAACAGACCACCACTACTTGTTTAAAGCAGCTTGAAGTGATTTCTTAGACTGTCCGTTAGGTAACATTATAAAACGTTCTAGAGTGGTCTAGTTGGATTCAAATGGGCCGTCAAAAGTAAATTGTAGATGTTATTATCTTTAAACCTTTACTGGACATTACTGTATTATAGTTTATTGTATTATCGCGTTAAAAATTCGTGATATGTCCTCAAAGAAATCCTTCGATGCAGGTCGTGCAGTAATTTTCAGAATGTATAACACAACAAAGGATTCATTATTCCCCTCATTAATATTAATGGACTATGTCCCAAATATATAAAACAGGTCCAAGGAATGATGCTACCCCTACATACTTTATAATTATGGAAACACCCTTCTATCCAAAGCATTCTCCAGTATGCTGCTAAATTAAAGCCTGTCCATCAGAAGCAAACAAAGAGTAGTAGGACTTGATGGTTCTCCGTTGCTCGAAGCAACAAGGGAACTAACATCTTGTATGCACGATTTTGATGAGTATAGTGTGAGCTGCAGACCATATGTGAGATCCAATAACATAGAGCTCTCTGTGCACAACGATTTAATTCGGTTTCATTTCACGACACATTCCAATTTTGGTGGGACTGAAAATCAATTATTTTTGGACGGTCGAGCCGACAATCCATATTAACACGTCCAGTTTTCCCCATTTATTTATCATCTTATCCAAAATGAATATGGGTATGAGTGTGAAATGTCTCGGACCATCATGTTATCAATACGTTTCCAATAAATGATCCCTTTTTAATGTTATGAGTGTGAAATGTCTTGAGCCATCATGTTATCAATACGTTTCCAATAAATGATCCCTTTTTAATGTTATGAGTGTGAAATGTCTCGGACCATCATGTTATCAATACGTTTCCAATAAATGATCCCTTTTTAATGTTATGAGCTACTCTTCTCATAGCATCTTAGCTTCAACTGGCTACCTATGACTGATGCTAATACCTATGCAGTATTGAACCATATGATTATTCTATATAAATTAAATACTGTTGTCAGTAAAGTGAAGTAAAACATTTGAAAATAACAACAGTTTTTTGTTTTGTGTGTGGTACTTGCATGCTTATTGCCTCTTGAAAACTGAGTACTTTTTTCAGGATCGAGTGAATTCGTTATGGTACTATGATCGCATTACTCATGGTTTGTCCAGTAGCGTGTCTTCCCTGGTTTCTCTTAATTCCACCTTGAGTTTGCGAATGAGTAGAAGTTCGCCCAGTTTATCCGTATTTAAACGAGAAGGTAAGTAAAACTCTAAGAACTTAAAAACAGGGTTGTTCAGTATTTTCAATTCTAGCCGAGATAAAACCTACACGTTCGAAATTGAATAGGAAATATAATTTAATTTCAAATATTTCAAATGCCTAATACGTCCTCCATCATCAATATCTATCGACAACTGACATAAAAATCTGTACATGAAAAAAGTCACATAAAGTAAAATAGTAGCATTAGTATCTTCGTTGTGTAGAGGATCCACTATGGCTCATCATTTATTAATTTAATAATATATTTTTTAGAGCTCTTGCTTTCAGTTTTTTTTTTTTGTTGTTGTTGTTTCTTTCTTTGAAAATATTAATTGTTCGATTGGTTTAATTACAAGCTTTCGTTCATAATCCCCGTTTGTTGTTTCTTTGTTTATAAAAGTCAGTCGTTGTCATAATTTAATAATAGGTCTTTCTTCACAACTCCTATTTTTTGTTTCTTTGTAATATTTTTTTAAATGAACAATAGGATCTCCTCCAGAACTCCTATTTTTGTTTGTTTGTAAATATTAATTGTTGTTTAAACTTAATAATAGATTCTTCTTCACAGTTTAAATATTTTGTTATTGTTTGTACATATTAATTGTTGTCTTAATTTAGTACAATTTACTACTTTTTTTGTGTTTTTTGTTTGTTTGTAAATATTACTCCGTATCTTAGTTTAATGATAAATTATTCTTCAAAAACTTCTGTTTTTTCTAAATCAGATTTTTTGTTGTTTTTTTTTACTGACAAATGTTGTTTCTGAAGCAAGTGTTTTATTCCTATATTTATATTCTGGATCTATTTGTTGGCAGGTCTTGTTTCCGAAGTAACTGTATATTTTTAAATCAGTTATTGTTTATATTTAATCAAGACTATTATTCCTGAAGTTACGTGTTAAGCTTCAATGTCCAAAATCTCAGTTTCAAAGAAAATTAGTATTTTTTGTATACACATTTTGTCGATTGATAAGATAACAATGTTTTAAGTTGATATTTATCATCTTCATTTCATTCGTAGTCCTTGACAGAGCAATAGAATGCATTGATTTTGACAATCATGATATAATGGTGATCTTAAAAGCAAGAAAGGAAGCGCTAGAGAAAATGCTGAGAAGTAGGAGGGAGGAGTTAAAATTACTGTGTTTACGAGAAGGGGTAAATATTTTATGTTAATTCATATCGTTGTAACCTCTTCTTAATCATCATTAACTAAATATATCAGAACTAAAATATTAACCTAATAATTAATATAGGTAATTCAATACATATTTTTACTAACAATGGTTAAGATGCATTGATTCACCAGTTAGTTACTTTCAGTATTAGCTATATTTTCGGTCATAACTTCTTTGTTTGTTCATATATGATTAATAATAATGCAAATGAGTATACGTAGTCTAAATAAGAATTTTGATCTTTTTATTATTTATTTACAGCTACTTTCATGGAAAATACATATCATAGTGCTTTCAGAAATTTGGACCATAAACAAGAAGTTAAATTTGTATAATATATATGGATTTTTTAAAAATATAATAAAGTTAAATATCATAATAAATCTAGAGATAATAAATCTAGAGATACCACAGTATTTGTAAGCAATGAAACACGTGTATAAGAAGTAATTCCTGAATTTATAATAGCTGAAGTATTAGATATAATTTTAGTAATTTATAAATCTCATCAATATAGTATACAAACGTATATTAAACAACTAAAATGTTTTTCTAAATGAAAATAAAATGAAAAATGTAAACTCTGTAGGAAACACAAACATAAATATTAAATCTGAAGAGAATAATTTTTTAAAGCTGTGGTAAAATGGTCTGTAACTCTAGTAATTATGACTGCTGGTCGTATAGAACTTATTTTACTTGTTTAAGACAAGAATTTGACTGTTCTATAGTAGTAGTTTGCATACATTACTTTACGTTGTTGTTGTTGAATAGATTACAGCAATCGACTTGTCATCCATGGTTTAACTATTTTCTCTGTTTATTTTTACATATTCCATTGATGAAGTAATTATGTTTGTCAATTTTATAATAACATCTTTATATATGCAACTTGTATATTTAATTTTTGATAGATACCACTGAAATCGAATTGTTTTAGTATTGTACAATCTTATGTTAATTTATTTTCAATACTTCATTATTATATGAATTATTATTATTTCTATACACAGTTTTATTCTTTAAATTCAAAATGTAAGAAATATGTTACCAACCTATAATGAATTGACTGAGTTTGGAAACTATAGAAATTATCTAAGTAGGTTTATAAAACAAACTACAATATATTATTAGAAGGATAAACAAATTCGCATTAAAACTAATATTAAAAATCAGTGGGACATAATAAATGAGATAACAGGTAAACCCCTCACAATGTGCTGAAAAATGTGAAAATATTACAGTAAATAATAAGTATATTCAGTTTAGTGAACAATCCAAATTATATACAAGTTTATTTAATGAATTTGGTATAAATATTATAAATGAACTTGTATGTAATAATTGTTGAAACAGTTTTAGTACATATCAGTTAAATGAAACTTGGTATAAACCTAGCATGCCTTTAAATTCACTGCATCTATTACTAACTGATAAATATGTAATTAAAAAATTTATAAACTCTCTAAAAAACGGAAAATACTTGGGAGAAGATAAAATCACATCTGAATGATTAAAAATAATATTGAAAAACTGGTGTTAGTTATAAAGTATTTAATTAAAGTATCAATGGAAAACGGTTTTTTTCCAGATATTTTACAAAGTGCCATTATTATACAAAAATTTAAAGGAAAAAAAAATTCAACAATTATTGACTGATTGCTTTCTTCTTAGTAATATCAAAAATTCTCGATAAGATTGTTAAAGAAAGAATAATTAAAGTTTTAGATTCAACAAGTTTTTCTCAAATTATCAATTTGAAAACCATAAAAATATGAATACAAATGTTGATTAATTGATTAAAACAATTGATTAATGGCGATAACATAACATATACTTATTGTCTTGATATATTAAACGCTTTTTGACACGTATTCACAATAACTTCCACGAAAAACTTTATAAAATTGTAATAAGAGGTTTTAAGTTTATATAAATCTTTTATATTAAAAAGAAAATAAGTAGTTAAAATAAATATTGTAATGATTGATGATATGAACTTAACTACTGGAGTACCTCAAGGGTCAGTTTTGGATCATCTACTGTTTCCATTATATTTAAATTATTTCTAGAAAATTAAGTTTAATGGAGAAATAACTAATTCTGCAGATGGCTCAATATTAATCTATAATGAGAAGTTTGTTAATGAAAATAAATAATGATTTAAAATGCATAAGGTTTGTTTTGAATTTCGTGCAAAGCTACACGAGGGTTATCTGCGCTAGCCGTCCCTAATTTAGCAGTATAGGATTAGAGGGAAGGCAGCTAGTCATCACCACCCACCGCCAACTCTTGGGCTACTCTTTTACCAACGAATAGTGGGATTGACCGTTACATAATAACGCCCCCACGACTGAAAGGGTAAGCATGTTTGGTGGGACGGGGATTCGAACCCGCGACCCTCAGATTGCGAGTCGAGCGCCCTAACCACCTGAATGCATAAGGAGGTGGTTTAATAATACTTTATTATGTTTAAATGTAATTAAAACAGTATATGTGAGATTACTTACAAAACAATCAAATAAAATAATTCCAAGCAAACCAATAATTTATGAAAATTGTATTTGTAAATATTTGTCTATCAACACTAATATAAATATTATTTCAATTCTACCAAAACCGAAATTTTGTTTGTTTTAACGCAAAGCCACATAAAGTTATCTGCCGTGTCCACCGTGGTGAATTGAATTCCGAATTCTAGCATTGTAAGTCCGTAAACTTACAGCTACTACCGACGACGAACCACGCAAGTATTAGTACTTGTAGTACGAATAGTATATTAATTAAATTAGTAAAAACGAATAA